CTGTCTGGACAATAAACTGGGAGTGGGGGCAAAGGAGGCACTCCAAGGAGGAGGTTGCTGCAGGGGTGTGGGCCAGGATGGTGGAGGGAGGCTGGATGGCATCAGAGGCAGAGGTGGAGGCGTGATAAGGTGTTTGAGTCCACAGGATTTGCTGATGGACAGAATGCAGGACCAGAGAAAGATGGCTCGGGCAGAGCCCCAGAGTGTAAGGTGGTTCAGAGGTGTTCACTGAGACAGGGGGATTTGGGAGGAGAGAAGATTATCGGTTGGGTTTAGGTTCATTGTCAGAAAAGGCCTGTGGCCTCCACAGAGAAGCTGCCAGTTGCTCAGGTGAGTAGACAAGTCCATAGTTCAGGGGAGGGTCAGCATTAAGAGTCACCAACTTGGGAGTCACCAGACAGTAATAGTATTTATAATCACAGGACTAAATGAGATCACCCAGGAAGTGGGTGTAGATAGAGCAGTCCTAGGCCTGAGCCCTGGGGCTCTCCTAAGTTTGGAGATTGGGAGAAGGGAGGAGGGGACAGCAAAAGAGGCAGGGCAGGAGGCAGGGAACTTCTGTTTCACCCCCAACAGCCCCACAGCCCACCAGCACTATGGCAGTCCCTTCACAGCAGCCCTGACTCTTGCCTAAATAACAGCAACAGAACTTGCAGCTCCTGGGCCATCTTTACAAAATGCAAATCTGACGCCACAACTCCCCATAGCTCATGCAGGGTTAGAAAGCAATTCCACAGCCTGGGAACCACGTGCCCCAAGGCCTGGGTCCTACACACGTCAGCAGCTACACTTGCCACACTAGGCATCCATGCACGTGGATGCACATGGAAGGACACAAGTCTGTACTCCCAAAGACCTGGCATGGTAGCCTACACCAGAGGCCATTCCTCTCCCCCTCCTTCCTGGAGACAACACTTGTACCCACACTTGAACCTGAAAGGCACCTTCCCAGCTCCATCCCCCTGAACCCCCCAGGGAGCTTCTGGGAATCTCCTTCCCCCAGAGAGAGACAGAGAGTTAAGGAAAAGCATCCCCTTTCCTAGCTGGTCCTAGGCTTTACATGTGAGGGCTCTGCCACCATATATGACCAGAAGGAGCCAACACCATGCAAAGGCACAGTGTAGCTCATGAGAGGATGGTGCCTGGAGTCTCTAGAGCTCAGTAGGGCTCTGTACCAGCCTCCATGCTACTGATCGGGGCCTCCTTACTGTAAGAGGAGAGCAAACCCCTACTAATGCAGCCACTTGGGGTGGGTTTCCTGACACCTGCATTCAAATCATCCCCACTGATTCCCACAGCCTCACATTCCTGGCCCTAAAAGTCTTGTCTTCCCCCCAAAACTTGCCCTTTGGCATCTATCTCCCTGTCTTGCTCAAGCTGCTTTCAAGCTGACATGTCTTCACCTTTGTCCACTCACTCTGGCCATAGGATGGCTCCTGCCCCACCTTCAAGGCCACCTGCTATCCTTGGCCTTCAGTTTGTAAATCTGTGAGGTCAGGTGATAGTTTTAAAACATGAATGGATACTTTAAATATTTCCCTACTCCCAAAGTATTTTCTGTTACCCAGCCCTTCCACACCCACACTTTGGCAGCAGCTGGACAGGGGTATCTATTGCCCTGGGAGAGGGTATTTTTCAGAGGGTATTTTTCTGGAGTCCAGAAAAGACTTTTGGACTCCAGAAATTTAAGACTTCAGAGGACTGGAGGATTAGAGGGAACAAAACCAAGCTTGGTGAGTCAGAGAAAGTTCCTGTAGCTAGAACAGTTCCTGTGCCAAGGAGAAAGAATGGAACAGCTGCGTGGACAGAAGTCGGTGGGCCCTGGGACATGTGCCCAGGGGACAGAGCAGCATCACAAGACCACCAGGCTCCACCAGTGCACCCCATAACAAGCCATGTCCTCCACTATGGCCCAAGAGCCACCCAGCAGGAGTCATAGTGGAGGCAGGAGCTGTGGGTGGCTATAACCTTCAGTCAGTGACCAGCACCTCGGAGGCATTGAGGAGCTATGTGGGCCTCCCAAGGGCTTCTCCTGGAGCACCCCAAGCCACACTCTGATGGTCTAGCAGGACTGCCTTTACTTGGGGTGATCACCCTCCCTTGAAGGGTCTCTCTCCAGGACACCAATCAGCATCCCTGCCACCACCAGACAAAGGGATGGTCCTGGCAGAGGTAGCCTAAGATGAAAAGCCTGCACATACATACTGGGAAGATAGAGTTCCCAACTAACGTGGCATAGGTCTGTTTCTGGCTCATTTCTATGATTCCAGTGCCCCCACAGGGCCTGGCCAATAGTACATGTGCAGTAAATGTTGATTGACCTAAACAGAGTATGAGCAGCACAGTCAGGGCCCACCATCCCCCTTCCTCAGCGCCCCCCTCCTCATGACTGTTACTAGCCAGGGATGGCCCCATGCTCCAGGTTGCCAACAGGATGAAGCAGAAGTCACAGGCTACACTTAGGCTTCCAACAAAGCTTCTTTTAAAGGAGTAGACTCCAATGGCCCTTTCCGTTGCCTTTTCCCCTTCCTCCTGATCAGAGGTGGCCCAACCATGGTGGTGACAGAATAAAGATAAATGCCTACCTGTAAATGGCGTCAAAGATGGAGGATGACAAAAACCTGGGTCCCTGATAGCATAACTAGGCCCCTGGACCACACTGCCTAGTCTCAGCTTCGTATACCAGACCTGGAAACCCTCTCTGTAGAAGCCACTGCTCTTTAGGGTTCAGTTACTTGCAGCTGAACACAACGGGGCTCACAGCATGCTCACTGTACACCTCTGGACCAGGACAGGTTTGGGTTTGGATCTTGGTTGGTAACGTCTGAAATCTGGGTTTCTCCACTACCTCCAATCCCCCCAAACTGCTCTTGTCAAGGTCACTGTGCTAATTAAGATAAATGTTGATAGCAATTATATTAGACAAATCCCATTGTGTTAGTGGCTTAACACAATGAAAGTTTATTTCTTATTCATGTTACAGTCCAGTGCAGGTTGGTGGGGAGGGTTCTGCCACACACAATCATTTAGGATCCCAGGAGCCTCCATCTCATAGCCCCACCCAGCTGGGTGACACCCTCTTTTATGGAAAACGTCTGGAAATGGAGCCTTCCACTTCCAACCACATCCTATTGGCCAGGAGTTGCCACACCTACATGCAAGGGAGGCCTCCATGTCCCCATATCCAGTGCTCACCTTTTTTGGAGAGAGAGAGAGAGACAGGGTCTTGCTGTGCTACCCAGGCTGGTCTCAAACTCCTGGCCTCAAGTGATCCTCCTACCTCAGCCTCCCAAAGTACTAAGATTATAGGCATAAGCCACCATGCCTGGCCCCGTGACTCACTTACTAATCCTCATTTTACACCACCTCTCGGCAGCACTGGACAATCCTGGCTGTCCCCCATCTTGTGACACACTGTTGTTGGCATCTTCCCTAACCTTTCCTGGGTTTTCTCCCACACTCCTAAACACTCCTCTTCCTACTTGCCTTGAGGTATGGGGGATCCTCAAGCTGGATCCTGAGTTCTCTACTTGTCCCCCTCTGCATAATTTCACCTTTACCAGTTGCCTCAACCACCACCATTATACTTATGACCCTTGATCGGTCTCCAGCCTGACCTCTCACCTGAGCTCAAGACAGTGGCATCACACAGTCTCCTGAGCATCTTCATCTAGACACATCAGACATCTCAAAATCAACATCTAAAAACTGTTAGCATCCACTTCACCCCAAAACTGCTGCTCCTCTGCTTCCCCTGCTGTGAGTGGCACCACTATCAACCCAAGGTCTCAAGCAGAAAGCTAGGCACCATTCCTGACCATCCCACACTCTGGCCATCATCGAAGCCATGAATCTGAAAATTCATCCATCTCTCTCCCCAGCCATGACCTCTACCCAACTAGATACAGCTACCACCACTGACGGCTTAGACTGTTTCAGCAGCCTCCCAAATTCTGCCTGTCCTTACCTTGATCCCTACACAGGTCTTCTAGATCAGTGCTTTTGAAATTTCAGCTGCATAAAACTGCTTGGGCAGTTTGTTAAAACACAGAAATTCTGAGTCTCACTCCCAGCAATTCTGAGTCACACTCCCAGCAATCAGACTCTGATTCAGAAGATTTAAGGCAGGGTAAGAATTTTTGCATTTCTGACAAGCGCCCTGGGGGATTCTCCTGGAGGAACCCCAGCTTATCTTGAGGCTGATGCTGCAAGTCTGCGGATCATACCTTGAATGCTAAGACTCCCTGCACTGTCCAATAAGGTAGCAATTTGCAACATATGGCTATTTAAATTATTAAAACAAAATAAATTGTACAATTCAGTTCCTCAGTCACACTAGCCACATTTCAAGAGCACATAGGCCACATGTGGCTAATGGCTACCCTACGGAACAGCGTGGATTACAGAACATTTCCATCATCCCAGAGCATTCTACTGGACAGCATTGCCCTAGACCTTGGTGAGAGGTGTAAAAATGAAGAGAATTCAGAGACTCTTCACCGCCTACAAGGTCATGCTTTTAGAAAACATGAAGAACGTCGAGAGCCAAGGGGACAGTTGAGAGAAACCGGTAGAGGTGTTGGTTCCTTACGGTGAAGGGGGCGTCCAGGGCCAGACCTCCCAAACCCAGACCCCACCAAGACGTCTGGGAAGTCTGGGCTTTCCCCGGGCTGGAGAAGGGTCAACATTGGCTGGTTTAGGGGGCGAGAAGCCAAAGCTTTCCTTTGATTGGATATTTTCTCTTAACGGAAAGCCAAGCATAGAGTGTGGGGGCGTGGCCAGTCCGCCCAGGCCCCGCCCCGAGTTCCGGTGCCGCCTCTCCCACGGCAGGTCTCGCCCGCGGTGAGTTCCGACCCCTGATCTTCTTCCAGACTCCCCGCCTACCATTCTTCCCCTGGCAGGGAAGGAAGGTGGCGGGGGCAGGTCCTCCTTCCTGCCACGGGGCACACCCCTCCCCCAGCACTACCCTAACCCCAGCCCGGCAGTCCCTGCGCATAGTGTAGAAGTTCAGACCCCCCCCCCCCGCACATAGTGTCCCCGCCTGTAAAATGGGATTGCCCTGGTGGCCTGGCAGCCTCCTCTGCAGTTCTTGTGGGGATGGGAGATTGAGGTGGGCCCTGGGACCGTGTTCCCACAGGAAGATGGCTCAGGAGGAGGGTGTGAGCCTGGCCGAGGTGCGGGCGCGGGTCGGGGCCTCGCATGGCATCACCGACCTGGCTCCCAAGCTCCACTTCTATGATAGCTGGGCTCCGGACTATGACCAGGTAAACCCGTTGGAGTCCTCACCTACGCTTGCCCAGCCTCGATTTTTCTGCCTGTCAAGTGGGAATGGTTAGCCTCACTTCCCTGGCTATGAGAATGAAATGAGACCTGGTTCGAACCCTACAGCCCTGCCTGTTCCCTACCAGCCCCACACCTCTGGATTGACAGCCCCTATCAAGCCCAAGACTTCCCTAGGGGGGCTGCCTGGAGGAGGTGCCATTGAGGGGTTATTGTGGACTAAAAAGAGAGCTGCCAGTGAAGATGGTCCCTGGAGGCTGCGGGCTAGTTCTGCAGTCCTGGCCCCTTGGCAATGAGAAGCCACTCATGCCTGGGTCTCCCTCTCACTGTAAGCACAGCCCAAGCCCCCAACACACACACAGCTCGGCCTAGCAGACTCCTGGACCACCCCAGATGAAAGGGCCCCCAAACACTAGAGCACTGTATGGTGTTTCGCTCAGCACTTTGTCCCTAGGATGTGGCCACCCTGCAGTACCGAGCCCCTCGCCTGGCAGTGGACTGTCTCAGCCAAGCCTTTCCAGGCCTTCCCCATGATGCCCTTATCCTAGATGTGGCCTGTGGCACTGGCCTGGTGGCTGCTGAGGTAAGGAGCCCCCCACATCCCCTGCCCTCCCCTCAGCCCCACACTTGCCCAAATCTCCTATCACCCACAACTCTGCCACACCCCTCTGACTCACGATACTGAATGCAAGTGCTACATTGGCTGCAGGCCCCATTGTTTTCCCATGGTACAGGGACTCACCTGGAAAGTGGCATGATGTGAACCGTAACTGAGTCCCCACCTTTTCCCAGCTGCAGGCTCGGGGTTTCTCCCAGCTGCATGGAGTGGATGGGAGCCCAGGGATGCTGGAACAGGCCCGAGCCCGCAGCCTTTACCAGCACCTCAGCCTCTGCACCCTGGGCCAGGAGCTTCTGCCCAGCCCCGAAGGTACCTCCCTCCACTCCACCCTAGCACACTGAGGCCCACTTTTGTGGAACCCCTTCTCTTGCTGAGCCCTCCACTTCCTGATCCAGCTGCAGCCCAGGACTGGGCCATGCTTACCATATCCTCCCTGGGATCTGGGTCCTGCAGACGCAGGGTGCAGGGCTTGTCCTTATCCAAGCTTACCCATAGGACTCTGTCCTCTAGGGTGATCTGAGGCCACACCATAGACAAAGCACCACACCACATTCCCATACTGCCCCACAGGGACCTTCGATGCGGTGCTGATGGTAGGTGCCCTCAGTGATGGCCAGGTACCCTGCACTGCGATACCTGAGCTTCTGCGAGTCACTAAGCCAGGTGAGGAGCAGCCCAGCCAACTACCTCCCATGCACCTTCCCTTCTCCACACCACATATACAGGCCTCGGAATCCCTCAGGCCAGGTAAGCAGCAGGATCCTGCCCAGGGTCACACACAGCCTTACCTAGCATCCCAGCTACCACCTGCCAATCCAGGGCCACACCTCAGCTGCCAGTGTCCACAGACCCAGGAACACAGGCAGGACAGACAGGTGACCTTGTCTATGGGCATCTAGGAGCCACTCTACTCTCCTCCTTTCCAGCCTATTTCCTGGCCTGCGAGCAGGGTGGCATAATCCTGTGATCCTGTCCTCTAGGATTACAGCAAAAATTGGGTGAAATCATGTCTCTAAGGCCTTGTAGTAGGGCTTTGCTCAGTCCCCTCTTCTTTTTTTTTTTTTTTTTTTTTGAGACAGAGCCTTAAGCTGTCCCCCTGGGCAGAGTGC